TTTATCTAGCGCGGAATAAATATCGTTAGCTATAGATAACTGATTGACAGTGGAATCTCCTGACCTGGCGTTAACAGAGAGTGGTCAACAATCAGATTGAAAATAAATTAAAAAACACATTTTCCCATTACCTTCCAAACTGTTGATAAAAGTGAAATAGGACGATAATGACTGAGTAGTGAACGGTCCCCTTTCTTATAACCGATGTAACGTAAGCCTGTTGGAACTGACCATGAGTAATAGATAGATTAAATATTTTGTTACGGGTTTAAGTAAACGTGGATTAATTAGGTCAGGACCAATAGATTTGGAACAGTCCAGAACTGTAACGACATCAATAATATCTTGCATGGAAATGATAATATTAAAAATGTCAAAATTGTGATTCTTTATCGGTGGGGGTTAAAATGCGTTCACGTCATCTACAATTTATTGAGCATTTAAAATAAATGTATTGAAAGCACTAGCCTTATCTGCATCATCAGATAATACTAAACTATTTACAGATAAAACGGGGTTTTGTCGGAGTTTGACATAAAAGTGTTAACTATTTCCACCACATTGGGTTTTTAACTACATGTATACAGAGACGTCTCAATTTTTTTGCAGAGTTTCTCAAAATAATAGATTTTTTCGCGTCTTACCGCATTTACACATTTATTTCCAATCCGTTTGAAGCTTGATCATTCTATGTCATATGGTGTACGCTTTACTTTACGGTGTAATATTTCCCTTTTACGAATTGGTTTACGAATTTGATAAGACATCCACGATGGGTTGATAGATCTGACGGTTATCATTTTATTGGGAATACACTGTTTAGCGGTATCAATAATAACAGGGTTCAAATTGTCTACATATTTATTTCAATTGTTTATATCGATATTGTCGTCACAATTAATATCGTTGAGCTTTTGTCGGTAAAAATCGTAGTCCCCTAAATCAAACAACCAGATACTACTTTTAAAACTAAACGTTTTGGGATTCTCAAGATTGAGTGATGCATAAACCGGACAATGGTACCTTTTTAATGGCTGGTCAAGAAAACTGTCATCAATGTAACAATTCCTCATTAATGAAGAGTTGCTTGTACATACTGTATCTAATAAAGAGGACGTTGTTTCTGTATAAAATGCATTTCGAATTACCCTTCTCATACACAACTTTACACGGATGGTTCCAAATAAGGTGAGAAAGTGGCAGCAGCCTGCTGTATTGCTAATTCTTCCACTTCAGTTCGACTACCAGACGGGGCCTCCATCTTTCCTGCTGAAGCATGCGCCATGGGTTTGGCCCTCGACCATATCGATGAACACCGCATTAAAAAGGCAATCATTTGTTCAGACTCTCTATCTGTCCTACAGAGTTTACAGTTACGAGATCCTAAAAACACACTCGTACAAAACCTTGCTCTTCGAATATCTCGTATTTCAAAAAAGTCCAAAATAACTTAACTATGGATTCCGAGCCATGTCGGAATTAAAGACAACAAATTTGTTGACAGGGAAGCAAAAAATGCATTAAATCTCCAACAATCAAATATCAAACTACCATATACAGATTTTAAACCTATTATTCGTACAGCCATTCAAAATGAATGGCAGCAACGCTGGTCTCTCGAGACCAGCAACAAACTTTTTAAAGTACAACCGAAACTTAAAAAATCGATCCATTCCAAGTCGGAAAGATCGTAGAGAGGAAGTTGTCCTCGATCGACTCCGTACTTGGCACACATATCCTACTCACTCGTACCTTTTAAAACGAGAAGATCCACCATCATGCCACGCATGTGACACTCCATTTACAGTGGAACATTTTTTAATAGAATGTTCCGATTTTAAACACATTCGTGATAACTACTTTCGAGTCCCAGATATGAAAACTATTTTCAGTTCCGTGGACTCGAAGGCATTATTCAACTATTTGAAAAACATCGGTCTATTCTATAGACTCTGGTGTCTTTAAAACCACCTTACCTTTTTTGACGTTATATATATCACATAGTCCATATCATCTATTCGTTATCTCTTTTATTATTTTAACCCCCTTTTTATTTTAATTATTTACACTTACAATGCGAATGCTTTTAAAATGAACCATTTTATCTTCGCTACTCACATGTTTGTTTAAAAAAAAAAATCACCATGGCCCTAAATGACCACAGTCGTCGATGGGCCAAACAAACTGTATAAAACGTTGGTTCGTTTACTAACTGGGATAAGTTAAGGTTTTGTAATCAACGTACGTAGATGTAGTATGATTATGACCAAGTAGTTAGCGTTAAAACCACCTGTGACTATAATAGCGGATATCCCGGTATTAAATGCCTGATCAATAGAACGACGTCTACGATCCAATGTAGATACAGGGGGATTCGGGGCCTATACAATGTACCATAAAAAGTGTTTCTATTTCCTACGACAAGCTGTAGCCAAACACATTCGACTGCGAGAACCTCTACATCAGTTTGACGCGCAGTCAATATTGATATTGACATAAACGGAAACGCCACCACCTATATACAGGGGCTTGGATCGCTGTACTTGTAATATTAAAAAATAGGGGTCTCCTCTACTATGGATTGCTTTACTTGTAATATTAAAAAATAGGGGTCTCCTCTACTATGGATCGCTTTACTTGTAATATTAAAAAATAGGGGTCTCCTCTACTATGGATCGCTTTACTTGTAATATTAAAAAATAGGGGTCTCCTCTACTATGGATCGCTTTACTTGTAATATTAAAAAATAGGGGTCTCCTCTACTATGGATCGCTTTACTTGTAATATTAAAAAATAGGGGTCTCCTCTACTATGGATCGCTTTACTTGTAATATTAAAAAATAGGGGTCTCCTCTACTATGGATCGCTTTACTTGTAATATTAAAAAATAGGGGTCTCCTCTACTATGGATCGCTTTACTTGTAATATTAAAAAATAGGGGTCTCCTCTACTATGGATCGCTTTACTTGTAATATTAAAAAATAGGGGTCTCCTCTACTATGGATCGCTTTACTTGTAATATTAAAAAATAGGGGTCTCCTCTACTATGGATCGCTTTACTTGTAATATTAAAAAATAGGGGTCTCCTCTACTATGGATCGCTTTACTTGTAATATTAAAAAATAGGGGTCTCCTCTACTATGGATCGCTTTACTTGTAATATTAAAAAATAGGGGTCTCCTCTACTATGGATCGCTTTACTTGTAATATTAAAAAATAGGGGTCTCCTCTACTATGGATCGCTTTACTTGTAATATTAAAAAATAGGGGTCTCCTCTACTATGGATCGCTTTACTTGTAATATTAAAAAATAGGGGTCTCCTCTACTATGGATCGCTTTACTTGTAATATTAAAAAATAGGGGTCTCCTCTACTATGGATCGCTTTACTTGTAATATTAAAAAATAGGGGTCTCCTCTACTATGGATCGCTTTACTTGTAATATTAAAAAATAGGGGTCTCCTCTACTATGGATCGCTTTACTTGTAATATTAAAAAATAGGGGTCTCCTCTACTATGGATCGCTTTACTTGTAATATTAAAAAATAGGGGTCTCCTCTACTATGGATCGCTTTACTTGTAATATTAAAAAATAGGGGTCTCCTCTACTATGGATCGCTTTACTTGTAATATTAAAAAATAGGGGTCTCCTCTACTATGGATCGCTTTACTTGTAATATTAAAAAATAGGGGTCTCCTCTACTATGGATCGCTTTACTTGTAATATTAAAAAATAGGGGTCTCCTCTACTATGGATCGCTTTACTTGTAATATTAAAAAATAGGGGTCTCCTCTACTATGGATCGCTTTACTTGTAATATTAAAAAATAGGGGTCTCCTCTACTATGGATCGCTTTACTTGTAATATTAAAAAATAGGGGTCTCCTCTACTATGGATCGCTTTACTTGTAATATTAAAAAATAGGGGTCTCCTCTACTATGGATCGCTTTACTTGTAATATTAAAAAATAGGGGTCTCCTCTACTATGGATCGCTTTACTTGTAATATTAAAAAATAGGGGTCTCCTCTACTATGGATCGCTTTACTTGTAATATTAAAAAATAGGGGTCTCCTCTACTATGGATCGCTTTACTTGTAATATTAAAAAATAGGGGTCTCCTCTACTATGGATCGCTTTACTTGTAATATTAAAAAATAGCTAGGGGTCTCCTCTACTATGGATCGCTTTACTTGTAATATTAAAAAATAGGGGTCTCCTCTACTATGGATCGCTTTACTTGTAATATTAAAAAATAGGGGTCTCCTCTACTATGGATCGCTTTACTTGTAATACTAAAAAATAGGGGTCTCCTCTAGATCTACTATGGATAGCTGTACTTGTAATACTAAAAAATATGGGTCTATTTTTTTTAATATTACAAGTAAAGCGATCCATGCCTCTGTGCACCTATATAATCATTCAGTCCTAAAATAGGAAAAGGGCTCAGAAAAAACCCCACAGTGAAATTTAGCTCGTTGATATCGTCGTTTGGGCTGAGCCAGGTTTCGGCAGAGACGTATATATTACAGATGATAAGATGTAAATATTGTATAGTTCACTAAATAGGACATCGACCTTGTGTTTTAAACTTTGAACGTTAAGATGCACAAATACAAATGTCGTATGTTCAAGCTCTTCACTACAATTATATATATTACGCATGAAGATTCAGAAGACAAATCGGGATCAGACCCTGGACCTGGATTAGTTTCAGTTATATCACCAGAGAGTAGTTAAAGATATTTCAGTAAAGGCGAGAATGCACAACATCACGATAGAGAAAACACTCTGCGCCTCGACCGGGACACGATTATAATTTTACATATATATATATAAACATAGATTATATTCAATAGTTGAAAATAATAGGTTAAAACAAAATGAATCATTTAAGAGCAAGGCCTGCATAACCATTTTCAGGTCCGCCAGGATTTATACCGGAAAATGTTACACTTAGTACACGAAAGGGGCCGAGCTGGAGAATCCTTACTTTCGCTTTTGGTCTATTTTTAGTTTATATTAACCGGAAGTGGAGTATTTCAACACTGAGTAAACACGTTGTTATTATAAGCATGGCACTTCGAATCTGCCTTGAATTCAGGTATGAATATTATAATACTTATAACATGTTTAAAAGATATATTTATTTGTTTGTAAGGCTGTTGAAGGCCCATCAATATACTAATTCATACTGGTCCACACCATAGTAGAAAATGGATTACAAATTGACAACGCAAGAGACTCGTTGAAATGAAAACACGCTGTCACATCGTTAGGAAGGATATTTTGCAAAAAATAAGCGTTCCAACCACAAAAGTGTGCACTTCTTATTTGTATAATGAATACAAATACGGAAATGACCCCTTGACCCCTTTCCGTATTAACATTGCCAACAGAACCACTATATAACGTAACAGCTGTAAGGGAGAGAAGTGGGAATAGTATCCCAGATAATACACTTGTACACATTGATTGTATTTTCTTCTTTAAGTAGGTCCTTTTATGTAGTCCCTAGAAACAGATCAAAGGGACACTCATGCTGGGATCCAATATAATTTCAATGTCTGCAATTGACAGATCTTTCTCAAATTTAATATTTAGGTTCCCATTGATTCATATTTATACATCTTTCATTTTGTGACTAATTGAAAACACATTTAAGATGATTATCAGGCAGCCATATTGAATTATTATATTCTAGTTACTTAATTGCAATTTCTCACGAAGTAAATGATTTTGTTTATATTTCATATGTAATTTCTCCCTGGCCCATTCTTGTGCATGGTTATAAGTATATTTTGAAAGTTTAGTGTGAAATTTTAATGAAAAATTACCAAAATATGCATTTACTACTGACAAGATTATAAATCTTACAGATAGAAAATGTAGAGGAAAGATCAAACTTACATAGAACTAATAAAGAAATCTAAGAATCACAGGCACGAGCCTCGTCTGTCAATACACCTATATTGTCAGACGAGGCTAGTACCTGCATGTGTAACAATGGTGGGTGCCAATATCCCTCTGTTAAATAATGTGATGAAATAATATGATTGTTAAATAATGTGATGAAATAATATGATTCATGTTGATCATTTTGTACTGTTATGTTTATAAGGTATACAATATGTTTTCAAAAAGTATTACTTACTTTTTTCAGTGGGGGTGCAGAGCTGTTATTTAACAAAACAAAGAAACATGAAGTTACACTACCTGTATGCGAAAAAGATTGTAAGTTTTACTACACACATGTGCGAAATAATTGTTTTTCTCTTTCATTATTGTCCCTGTTTATCGACCCCAACCACCCGAGATTGTTCATCAATTAAACAGCAGAGGAGTTGCTCGAGTCATATACCGTCCGGTAATGAGTGTTAATTAACTGGATGATTACAACACCTTTCATCACTTTGATTGGTTAAAATCCTGACCTAAACTTGGTGATTAGGAGATTGGCACAGTTTAACTATGCTTTCCTACATTTCAGACATTCATCTGTGATGTAATACAATAGTGGAGGCTTAAATTTTATTTTTGATTTTCAAAAATGTTAGTTGATGTTAGTCTATAATTTTGTTTCATTTAAATCTATTCTCTTGATAGAGAGTGTAGTATGGTTCTTTAAATGATAATCAAAATCGTTATACGTGTGTAGTTTTTTTTTCAAAAGTGTTATATGTACAATTTCATTGTAATGTGGTACAAATTACGAGTTTTGTTCATATAATTTCTATTGTGTATGATCACAGGGACGATAGGATCACTATTGCCATGGATGAGAGAGACCATGCTAAAGGAGCGACCAGAACTTTTCATGCAGGGAAACACAGTGTGGGTATTGTACACAGCACAAATACATATATTGCTACCGAGAGAAAAAATCAGGGTTATCTCCGTCTCAATTTGTAAAGTGCAATTAATGACCTTGACATACTTTCAACTTTATTTGCATCAGACATGTTAAAATAATTTGAACATCTCTATATATAAACATGAGGATTAGGGTCATGATATTTGGCTTGTAATTTGGGAAGGGCTATACAGTTTGGCCTAACACATAAATGTAAATAAATTTGATAGGTTCAAGAGCTTTACCAACTTTGAAATTCACAGGATTGAAATACTGTAAGTAACGGTGTAATGATTACTTTAGCCAGCAATCGAAGCATAAGAATTCTTGTTACCTTGACCCTGGCACTTTGAAGGTCTCAGATATGAGTCGTGTTGGCCAAAAAGTATGTAAATTGATTAAAAGAAGAGCATTATGTAGACCAATTGGGCATCTTGTTGAGTTTTGCTTTTCAAAGTTAAATGCCTAATTCTGTTATTTCTTGGTCCTCAGGCGTCCAGGGATACTGGTGTTGATCAATGATTCAGATTGGGAACTAATGGTAATACTTGATACTTACATTGTACTTTTTAATTCAAGGTTATTGCAAAGTACTATTTTGCAATTGGCATTGTTGTGTTTTCCGAGAACCAGAAATGGGTGTTGATTTTTTTTTTTTTTCTTTCATTAAGGTTCTGAAACATCCTATCTAAAGTTGTATTTCAGTGTTTTTCTGGCACCATTCATCAGAAAAATGTATATCATGTTATTTTCACAAGTATTATTTGAAGATAATGTCCAAAATTTTCTTGACTCCTAAATATGAAATGCGAAATATTGTACTGTCACATTGTTATCAATATTACTGTTCTTAAATAAAATTCAATTATCAATATTAATGCTAAGAATTTGCTTGAGCGAGACATATTTGTCTGTGATTGAAATTGTGATATCACAATGAAAACATCACATCTAAATTTATACTTGGTGCAACAGCAAATAAGAGTATTATTACAAAGTAGGTTAACTCGGTTCAAAATCATACGAAAATAGTGATAAGATATTGTGGAAAGAAAATTTATACCCATCTATTAGTCATGTAATTGTCAACTTGCATTATTGCATATACTAGCAGAACAAACTAGTAGAAGTATTTTTTATGATAAGAAAGAAAAACAACAGATGTCGAGACATATACTGCATTATCTATAGGCAGACAGTGTTGGTTTCCTGCTTGACTGAGCTACATCGTAAAATGTATATTGTATTACAGGGAGAACTTGATTATTCCATCAAGGAAAATGACAGGATAATATTTATATCAACACTACATGGCGGATGACAACTGCAAGACAGAAAACTTGCTGAGTACACATCTTCATTCACACCAGAGGGAATCAACTTTGTGATAAAGACAATTCACATAACTTTTATCCTCTGAAAATTGTGAGGGTGCACAAGTTAACATAGCTCATGATATTAGTGAGGCTGGATTCTAGAAAGTTGTACATGTGTGTGAAGACTGAGGTTGTTTACACAGCATGTACAGGAATGTGGTGCCTGTACTGGTACATATAGGTCTACTGCAATCAACTCTGCATGTCTGTGGCACTGATACTTTTAAAGACAGAGAACATAAATGAAATTATTGTGATAAGTCACAGGTATCTTTGGTAAGAAGGTGACCATCTTAGTTTTTCGAGATTTTGATTCATATTACATTTTCATGATGAATATTTGACGATGTTGAATGAATTGTGATAAAAATAAATTATTTAAGTATCGGTATTTAAAAATGTTTTTGTGACTTTTTGATTTTGCAGTAATTGCAAAATACAATAACAAATTATTTAATATTTATATAAGAGAAAACAATAAAACATTTAATATGATAAACCCAAGGAGACTAAGAAACCACCTAATATGACTTATATTTTGAATAATAATTTTCAAATAAGTTGACCTTAAAGATCCATCATGAATTCAAGTATCAAAACATGGATTATTTATACATAATGTATATAAAAGTTAAGTGAAATGCAAATTATGAAACTGCTACTTGCATAAGTACTGAAACATGTCGAGAAATTGAGTCATTACGTCTGTCAATACACCTTGGTTATTGAGTCAGTCCTTCTGTCAATGCCCCTTGGTTATTGAGTCACTACGTCTGTCAATGCTCCTTGGTTATTGAGCCAGTACGTCTGTCAAGGCACCTTGGTTATTGTGTCAGTATGCAGTTCGTCTGTCAATCCACCTTGGTTATTGATTCAGTACGTCTGTCAGTGCACCTTGGTTATTGTGTCAGTATGCAGGACGTCTGTCAATACACCATGGTTATTGAGTCAGTCCTTCTGTCAATGCCCCTTGGTTTTTTAATTGAGTACGTCTGTCAATAACCTTGGTTATTGAGACAGTACGTCTGTCAATAACCTTGGTTATTGAGGTAGTACATCTGTCAATACACCTTGGTTATCGAGTCAGTACGTCTGTCAATGCACCTTGGTTATTGAATCAGTACGTCTGTCAATGCACCTTGGTTTTTTAATTTAGTACGTCTGTCAATGCACCTTGGTTATTGAGTCAGTACTTCTGTCAATGCACCTTGGTTCTTGAGTCAGTACGTCTGCCAATGCACCTTGGTTATTTAATTTAGTACGTCTGGCAATGCACCTTGGTTATTTAATTTAGTACGTCTGCCAATGCACCTTGGTTATTGCGTCAGTACATCTGTCAATGCCCCTTGGTTATTGTGTCATTACGTCTGTCAATGCACATTGGTTATTGAGTCAATATGTCTGTCAATGCACCTTGGCTATTGAGTCAGTATGTCAGTCAATGCACCTTGGTTTTTTAATTTAGTCCGTCTGTCAATGCACCTTGGTTATTGAGTCAGTACGTCTGTCAATGCACCTTGGTTATTGTGTCAGTATGCAGTACGTCTGTCAATACACCTAGGTTATTGAGTCAGTACGTCTGTCAATACACCTTGGTTATTGAGTCATTACATCTGTAAATACACCTTGGTTATTGAGTCATTACATCTGTCAATACACCTTGGTTATTGAGTCATTACGTCTGTCAATACACCTTGGTTATTGAGTCACGATGTCTGTCAATGCACCTTGGTTATTGAGTCAGTATGTCTGTCAATACACCTTGGTTATTGAGTCAGTATGTCTGTCAATACACCTTGGTTATTGAGTCAGTATGCAGTACGTCTGTCAATGCACCTTGGTTATTGAGTGACTATGTCTGTCAATGCACCTTGGTTATTGAGTCAGTACTTCTGTCAATGCACCTTGGTTATTGAGTCAGTACGTCTGTCATTGCTCCTTTGTCATTGAGTCAGTACGTCTGTCAATAACTTTGGTTATTGAGTCTTTACGTCTGTCAATGTACCTTGGTTATTGAGTCAGTACGTCTGTCAATGCACCTAGGTTATTGAGTCAGTACGTCTGTCAATACTCCTTGGTTATTGAGCCAGTACGTCTGTCAATAACCTTGGTTATTGAGTTATTACGTCTGTCAATGCACCTTGGTTATTGAGTCACTATGTCTGTCAATGCACCTTGGTTATTGAGTCAGTACGGCTGTCAATACACCTTGGTTATTGAGTCACTATGTCTGTCAATGCACCTTGGTTATTGAGTCAGTACGGCTGTCAATACACCTTGGTTATTGAGTCACTATGTCTGTCAATGCACCTTGGTTATTGAGTCAGTATGTCTGTCAATACACCTTGGTTATTGAGTCAGTATGCAGGACGTCTGTCAATACACCTTGGTTATTGAGTCAGTATGTCTGTCAATGCACCTTGGTTATTGAGTCAGTACGGCTGTCAATACACCTTGGTTATTGAGTCACTATGTCTGTCAATGCACCTTGGTTATTGAGTCAGTATGTCTGTCAATACACCTTGGTTATTGAGTCAGTACATCTGTCAATACACCTTGGTTATTGAGTCAGTACATCTGTCAATACACCTTGGTTATTGAGTCAGTACGGCTGTCAATACACCTTGGTTATTGAGTCACTATGTCTGTCAATGCACCTTGGTTATTGAGTCAGTACTTCTGTCAATGCACCTTGGTTATTGAGTCAGTACTTCTGTCAATGCACCTTGGTTATTGAGTCAGTACGGCTGTCAATACACCTTGGTTATTGAGTCACTATGTCTGTCAATGCACCTTGGTTATTGAGTCAGTATGTCTGTCAATACACCTTGGTTATTGAGTCAGTACGTCTGTCAAGAGTCAGTACGTCTGTCAATGCACCTTGGTTATTGAGTCTGTACGTCTGTCAATACACCTTGGTTATTGAGTCATTACATCTGTAAATACTCCTTGGTTATTGAGTCATTACATCTGTCAATACACCTTGGTTATTGAGTCATTACATCTGTAAATACTCCTTGGTTATTGAGTCATTACATCTGTCAATACACCTTGGTTATTGAGTCATTACGTCTGTCAATACACCTTGGTTATTGAGTCACGATGTCTGTCAATGCACCTTGGTTATTGAGTCAGTATGTCTGTCAATACACCTTGGTTATTGAGTCAGTATGCAGTACGTCTGTCAATACACCTTGGTTATTGAGTAAGTACGTCTGTCAATACACCTTGGTTATTGAGTCAGTACGTCTGTCAATACACCTTGGTTATACTTTGTATTTAGCTTTATTAATTACCACTTAGTACTAAAAGTCCCAACATCCATCAAAAGAACTGCACCAATATATCAAGTGTGGATCTCTGACCTATATTTTCCATTTCACTGACATAATTTTTAGCTCCCTTTCTAGAAATTCTGATGCCTTTTTATGATTTCTGAGCTAATTTTGGTGATTGGAATGAGAGAACAAGGTTACCATGAGCCGTACATTATACTTGGTGTACGCCAATCATACCTTGAATGTATGAAATATTTGTAAGTAGTTGATGTTAGAGGAGAAATAATTCAACACACATGGTAGATCAATGAAAACAATAAATATCATGGAATGCATGGGGTATTGCATGAATGAAACCACGGGGAATAACTCTAGTAAATATGGTCAGATGATAGTGATTACTTTAAGGTGGCATAAGTCTGTAAATCACAGTAGGATAATGGTAGTTATCCAACTTGTCCATGGTAATTAAACCTCCTGTCAAGTTTGAAGTTAATCTGTTGGAAATTACTTGAGATATTGAGTGGACACCATTTTGGCATTGGAATAAAGGGGCATAATTCAATAAATTAGTCAGATAAGGACAATTATCATAATTATCTGAGTTCTCATGGTAATTAATCTTCCTATGAAGTTGATACTCAATCCATGGAAAATCAATCAAGTTAACGTGCAGACACCGTTTTACCAATTAAATTACTGTCGGACAATGGTGGTTATTAAACTCCTCCATGCTTTCATGGTAATTAACCATCCTATGAAGTTTGAAATTAAATTGTTGAAAAGAACTAGAGTCATGGACCAGACACTGTTTCAGCAATTGAATAAAAGGGCATTACTCTGTCAATTATGGTCTGATAATGCTGGTTATTGAATTTTATGATAATTAACTTTCCTATGATGTTTGAAATTTACCCGTTGAAATTACTGGAGATATAAAGCGGACACTGTGGGCCCACAGGGGCGCAACACCTGAAATTACTGTCAGATAACAATGGTTAACAAGACGCCCAGAGGGCCTGTATTGCTCACTTGGATATCTAACCAATCATGGCAAAATATTCTCCAAATGAGATCCAAGGGAATAGGCCAGACCCCAAGGCCAATCCTTGTAGCATATTTGTTTAAGATTTTTTATGCCCAGCAATTTTATGTTTGGTTATGGGGTGGGAATCTCAACTGTTTCCAAGCTGTGACTCAGAAAATTAGGTCCCTAGGGTTGTGGTCAGACCCCAGGATCAATTCTCATATCATGTCTGCACTCGTCTCTTTATGCTCAGCATTTGTATATATATAGTTTTGGGGTGGGGATCTGAACCGTTTCAAAGTTATGACCCAGGTACTATATCTCAAAGGGAGGGGCCAGACTCCAGGGGCATCCTGGAAGCAAATGTGCATTCTTCTCTTTATACTCAGCAATTGTTTGTATGGTTATACAGTGGGGATCTTAACTATTTCCAAGTAATAAGCTTTTTCTGGCCCCATCCCTTAGCGCAGGGTTCCGCCCCACCATTTGTACAATTTTGAATCCCCGCCTCCCACGAATACTTCCGACCAAATATTATTGATATCCATGACATAGTTCTACAGAAGAAGTTGTTTATAGCAATACTGCCCCCTTTTGGTCCTGCCCTTCAGCCCCCTGGGGGGGGGGTCAGCCCCACCGTTTGTACAATTTTGAATCTCCACCACCTTGGGATGATTCCAGTCAAATATGGTTGATAACCATCTCTTTGATCAGAGAAGAAGTGGCTTAAAGCAATATGGCCAAATAACCATTTTTGGCCCCGCCCCTCAGCCCCACCATTTGCACAATTTTGAATCCCCACCACCTAGGGATGCTACCAGTCAAATTTAGTTAAATTCCAATCAGTGGTTAAGAAAAAGTCGTTTGAAGGAATTGTTGACGTACAGACGATGGACGGACGCCACGGTATGGCATAAGCTCAACTTGGTCCTTCAGACCTGGTGAGCTAATAATCTCGTCAGAAATTTTATAGAAATTAACCTTCCTGTAAAGTTTGAAGGTAATCTGTTGAAAATGACTAAGACAGGAATTGGCACCCTTTGAATTTTCAAATTGATGCAAAAGTCTAGCCAAACCTTCGGTTTTACAAAATTTGAAAACCCCTGGGCATGAAACAGTCTTATAATCTCTCATGCATCCACTAATAGGGGCTAACGCAGGTAGACCTGCTATGCTATGAAAAACTATTATGTCAACAAGCAAATGAATGGAATTCATATTCTCTGCTTGGAGAACATGTTTTAGAGGTTGGCAATTGTTTAGATTTACTTTAAACATTCTAGTATGGAGAATTGAACTAAGAGCAGACATGTCAGAAAATGTTTCTTAAAAATTGGAAATGTTTTGATTTAGTTCTTTTTGGATGTATAGTATACGGAGAAATAACTCACAAGAAATAGGTATTTATTAAAATGACAAAAGATCAAAAGATTGTGTAAATCGCTATATTGTAGCTGTATGTGAATCATAAATTGATACTTTTAATTCAACCAATAAGTAGGGAAGTTATTGCACAGAAAAAATAAGCAAGTCTTTTTTTCCAATTCAGATATCTTTTACTCAATCCTTATAAGTGTGTAACAAGAGCTTAAACTGTCTCTTTGAGTGTATGGCAGGTTTACCCAGTCAGCTCCTTCTGTTTCCTTTTCATTATTTCTTCTGATTTCTTTATATATGTCTCATAAAGTTTTCTAATCTGTAAAGAATAAAGAACGCAATTGCAATACACTGTGTAAATATCCTGATTATATCTTCTAAACACTTACTTACCTGTCCTCCAGACCCTACATGGTTAAATAAACACAATTTCCTTCTTACCAACCCTTGCCACACCTGAATCTCTATCTCCGTTCCCTCCTCATCAACCTTTGTCACACCTGACTCTCTATCTCTGTTTCCCTCCTCATCAACCCTTGCCACACCTGACTCTCTATCTCCGTTCCCTCCTCATCAACCTTTGTCACACCTGACTCTCTATCTCTGTTCCCTCCTCATCAACCCTTGCCACACCTGACTCTCAATCTCCGTTCCATCCTTATCAACCCTTGCCACACCTGACTCTCTATCTCCGTTTTCTCCTCATCAACCTTTTTCACACCTGACTCTCTATCTCCGTTCCATCCTCATCATCCCTTGCCACACCTGACTCTCAATCTCCGTTCCATCCTTACCAACCCTTGCCACACATGGCTCTCTATCTCCGTTCCCTCCTCATCAACCTTTGACACACCTGACTCTCTATCCCCGTTCCCTCCTCATCAACTTTTGTCACACCTGACTCTCTATCTCCGTTCTCTCCTCATCAACCCTTGCCACACCTGACTCTCTATCTCCGTTCCCTCCTCATCAACCTTTGTCACACCCGACTCTCTATCTCTGTTCCCTCCTCATCAACCTTTGTCACACCTGGCTCTCTATCTCCGTTCCCTCCTCATCAACATTTGCCACACCTGACTCTCTATCTCCGTTCCCTCCTCATCAACCTTTGTCACATCTGGCTCTCTATCTCCGTTCCTTCCTCATCAACCCTTGCCACACCTGCTTCTTTAACTCCATTCCTTCCTCATTAACTTTTGTACTTACATCAACCTCCATTTCCTTGTCTTGACTGGTTTTTGCTTTTCTCAATTGTTTATTTTGAAATTGGTTCATCTGTTGTTTGGCATCATTATATAATCTTTGAGCATTGCTTGCTAAAGTTTCTCTGTGTTCTCTTGTCACTCTGAAATTGAAATAGTTTTACCATGCTCAGTAGATATTGTCCGAGTTTACACATAACAGGTATTTATGACATCAAAGGTTACAAACTATTTGAACAATGTGTCTGTGTAAACCAGTTGTCACAGGATGTATATATTGTTGCAACTTTGAATTAATTAAGAGTACTTTTCACATTTACATGTGATTAAAAGGTTGCACTGTGTTGAAGTTGCGTTTCAAGATTACCCAGAAATGTATCTTTTCAGAAATGCTGATGGCTTGACTATATCAGATTCTTTGTATTACCAGAATAACACAGCTGCGGAAAATACCCCTGCTATAGCTGAACCAAATCATAGCCATTCTGTCCTCCCAAGTCTGTTCTATAGAAATGTATTCTGAATTAATTCAAAAAGGGTCATTGACAAGAAATTATACTAATCTTTTATTCTATAACAGGATCAGGTGATATATTCCTCAAAACACTTACTTTGGCAAGTTTATAAACAGAGAGGTTCCCTCCTGTTGTGGGTTTACATTCAATGCGCTCTCCATCAGGGCAGTCTTTATTTCTTTCAAATACTACAACATACATAGTGATACACAAATCTAGATTACATACAGTACACAACACGTTAGGGCAACATTATCATACCTTTATATTTAAATTTCTGCTGCAAATTCTTATAAAAACACTAACAAAAAAAATTGCATTTAAAGGGCTATAAAGTGTCATTTTTGCATGTCTCCTCTTGCCTTACATAATGTGAGACCACGTATTGTAAGAAGCAAACATTTAGGTGACCTTAAGCTATTTCAGGAATGTCATATGCAGCAGCAATAAAGACTCTTCAATGCTGCAAATATTACAGAAAAGTGATATTTGAAGTCTCTAAAACACAAGATTGAGAATATTGGTATGAACAATAGGTTACAAACATACAGTACCTGTGGGGAGGCAGCCATGTTGATTTGCATCAACTGTGGAGTTTTCTGTATGACCTGTGCTAACTGGTTTAAAGGAACAGTTTGTGATTTATTTATAGTCACAGCAACATTTTCATAGGAACCTTAAAAAGAAAGAATTACATGATTACCAAGGTATATCAGTTCATGGATTATAAGGTATCAATGTATCTCAAGAATGAATGCCCTTCCTAGGGCAAGTCACATATATTAATGTAAAATTAATGAAAATATAGTTACCCCGGCAGTATATATACATGTATCTGTACAGACATGAATACACAGTCTTTATTAAGGAACACTTACTGTTATTTCTAGAAAGTCCCAGTGTTTGTGAGGAGTGTGGTTCTTTACCAATACATATGAATTAGCTAAAGGCCCCAATTGTGTGGGGGCTGGTTACTTTACAAAAGAAGCAAAAAGAGCCAGTTATTGGAGGGCTGTGGCTACTTACTGTGACAGCATCCGAGCTGTTTAATGTACTGTTTTAACTAATATTATTTCAAGGTCCATACTAGATCTGTTAAATAGGTATACTGTCCTTATTCAGGTTAGTACAGGGTCCCAGCTGTGTAGCATACTGTACTTATTCAGTTTAGTACAGGGTCCCAGCTGTGTAACATACTGTACTTATTAGCTCATCTGGCCCGAATTAAGGGCCAAGTGAGCTTATGCAGCGTCCGGCGTTCGTCTGTCCGCCTGGCTTTCTTAAACAACTTCTTCTCAATAACCCAAAGGCCCAGGGTACTGAAATTGGGCCTGTAGCATGCTGGGATGAAGGGCTACCAAGTTTGTTCAAATGAATGACCTTGACCCACTTTCAAGGTCACAGGGGTCAAATGTCTTAAAATCTTCAAATAACTTCTTAATAACGAAATGGACAAGGGTACTGATATTGGGCATGTAGCATGCTGGGATGAAGGGCTACCAAGTTTGTTCAAATGAATGACCTTGACCCACTTTCAAGGTGACAGGGGTCAAATGTCGTAATATCTTCAAACCACTTCTCAATAACCAAACGGCCCAGGGTACTGATATTGGGCCTTTAGCATGCTGGGATGAAGGGTTACCAAGTTTGTTCAAATGAATGACCTTGACCCACTTTCAAGGTCACAGGGGTCAAATGTCGTAAAATCTTCAAACCACTTCTCAACAAGAGGCCCAATGGGCCTGCATCGCTCACCTGGTATAAAACTCACACTTGTAACCTTAAAAGTGATCTAAAATAAAGCTACAGGCAAAATATCAGTATTTATGATTAAAATTCGTTCAAAAGACCCTGTTC